GATCTTTAAATCCCACACTACCGTAACTTTTTAATTTCCCACAATCCCATCCAAACTCTATCTTAGAATTTCCCTAAATATACCCATCTAACCTTTATCTTAGAATTTCCTAGCATCCCATCCAACCTTAATCTTAGAATTTCCCTCAATATACCCATCCAACCTTTATCTTAGAATTTCCTAGAATCCTATCCAACCTTTATCTTAGAATTTTGAATTTCCTAGAATCCCATCCAACCTTTATCTTAGAATTGCCTAGAATCCTATCCAACCTTTATCTTAGAATTTCTTAGAATCCCATCCAACCTTTACCTTAGAATTTTCCTCAATCCCATCCAACCTTTAGCTTAGAACTACCTAAAATCCCATCCAACCTTTATCTTAGAATTTCCTAGAATCCTATCCAACCCTTGTCTTAGAATTTCCTAGAATCCCATCCAACCTTTATCTTAGAATTTCCCTCAATATACCCATCCAACCTTTATCTTTGAATTTCGTAGAATCCCGTCCAACTTTTATCTTAGAATTTCCCGCAATATACCCATTTAACCTTTATCTTAGAATTTTGAATTTCCTAGAATCCCATCCAACCTTTATCTTAGAATTTCTTAGAATCCCATCCAAACTTTATTTTAGAATTTCCTAGAATCCCATCCAACTTTAATCTTAGAATTTCCTAGAATAATCCCATCCAACTTTAATCTTAGAATTTCCTAGAATCCCATCCAACCTTTATCTTAGAATTTCCTAGAATCCTATCCAACCTTTATCTTAGAATTTCCTAGAATCCCATCCAACCTTTACCTTAGAATTTTCCTCAATCCCATCCAACCTTTATCTTATAATTTCCTAGAATCCCATCCAACCTTTATCTTAGAATTTCCTAGAATCCTATCCAACCTTTGTCTTAGAATTTCCTAGAATCCCATCCAACCTTCATCTCAGGATTTCCCTCAATATACCCTTCCAACGTTTATCTTAGAATTTCCTATAATCCCGTCCAACTTTTATCTTAGACTTTCCCGCAATATACCCATCCAACCTTTATCTTAGAATTTTGAATTTTCTAGAATCCCATCCGACCTTTATCTTAGAATTTCTTAGAATCCCATCCAACCTTTATTTTAGAATTTCCTAGAATCCCATCCATTTTTAATCTTAGAATTTCCTAGAATACCATCCAACCTTTATCTTAGAATTTCCTAGAATCCTATCCAACCTTTATCTTAGAATTTCCTAGAATCCCATCCAACCTTTACCTTAGAATTTTTCTCAATCCAATCCAACCTTTATCTTTTAATTTCCTAGAATCCCATCAAACCTTTATCTTTTAATTTCCTAGAATCCCATCCAACCTTTATCTTAGAATTTCCCTCAATATACCCTTCCAACGTTTATCTTAGAATTTCCTAGAATCCCGTCCAACTTTTATCTTAGAATTTCCCGCAATATACCCATCCAACCTTTATCTTATAATTTTGAATTTCCTAGAATTCCATCCAACCTTTATCTTAGAATTTCCTAGAATCCCATCCAACCTTTATCTTAGAATTTCATAGAATCCCATCCAACCTTTATTTTAGAATTTCCTAGAATCCTATCCAACTTTTATCTTAGAATTTTCTAGAATCCCATCTAACCTTTATCTTAGAATTTCATAGAATCCCATCCAACCTTTATCTTAGAATTCCCCTTAGTCTTACAGTTACTTGCCAGATTATGGCACTGTAAGTGTCTTGATTTTGTTTCTTTGCTTGTTTGTTTGTAGACTACCCTTATTCAAACTACTTGTATTATTTATTAATTGTCCGAGTTGCTCTATATGGCAATGATTATTATTTTACTCCTAGACAGCCTATGCAATTCTGTCGTGTTGACTGCCTGAACAAGTTGGTTGTCCTTTTTTGCTAAGACGGTTCGGTATAGTAGGCGAGAACGCTATCCAAGGGAAAATATTGTAAATGATAACGTTATGTTTGATGTCATATGACGTATGTGGATGGTTATAATGCCCCCTAGAACAGGCGTAACAACCATGGCCAGGTATGTCGATTGCTGTTCTAAACTAAATCGATGTAGTTAAACAATCAGAAATCGAGAATTTTATTACGGGATTAGTTTCCTCGTCCATAAGTTTATTCCACAATCTTGCTTTCAGTGTGAAGTTTAATGTCTTATTTTTCTATATAATAAATAGCTTTATGCATTTATCCGAATAGTCGTAATAATACCTGAATATTAAATCTTAATAAAGGAAATATTTTACTCTGGCCTCAGGTCGCCTATGATGTGTTTGAGAAAGAGTGTTTTTGATGTCCTTGTTAAAATCCATGTTTTTTTTTCAAAATTGTGTTGCTTTGTCACAAACATTGTACAATTCGAAGATCATCATGTTCCTGGTAGTTCCTTGTCCGTCCGTCTGTCTCTAGGTCACACCTTGGATAAAATTTAAGTACGGATTAATTTAATGCACTTTGGTAAGGCATCTAGGTTTCCAAAAACACACTTCTAGTTTTCTCTCAATTTTCTTTTTTCTTGACGTTTTCCTTTTCTTTTTCCAACATCCGAAATATTTCTGCTTAGTCTGGTTTCATTATGACGTTATATAAATATTTAGTATTTTCACGTTTATGTTCATTGTATGTGCGTAACTCTGTGAATGTATTTATGATTTTCATTGTCATTCAGCACTCACCCATTTTTCTCACCAGTTCCAACTTTTGTAATGATGAATAGACAGCGATTAGATTAGATCAAATTGGATTGGAAAAGATTAAATTAAATTAGATTAGATTAGAATAGCTGAAAGATAGACAATCTGATAGATAGATAGATAGATAGATAGATAGATAGATAGATAGATAGATAGATAGATAGATAGATAGATAGATAGATAGATAGATAGATAGACAGACAGACAGACAGACAGACAGACAGACAGACAGACAGATAGATAGATAGATAGATAGATAGATAGATAGATAGATAGATAGATAGATAGATAGATAGATAGATAGATAGATAGATAGACAAACAGACAAACAGACAGACAGTCAGACAGTCTGATAGATAGATAGATAGATAGATAGATAGATAGATAGATAGATAGATAGATAGATAGATAGATAGATAGATAGATAGATAGATAGATAGATAGATAGATAGATAGATAGATAGATAGATAGATAGATAGATAGATTGTATTTATATCAGTGCTATATCAGGGGTGTAGAAGTGTTAGATAGATAGATAGATAGATAGATAGATAGATAGATAGATAGATAGATAGATAGATAGATAGATAGATAGATAGATAGATAGATAGATAGATAGATAGATAGATAGATAGATAGATAGATAGATAGATTGTATTTATATCAGTGCTATATCAGGGGTGTAGAAGTGTTCTGTTATATAAAACTTATTCCAATTGCGAACAACCCCATTTGGAGTTCCGAAACCAGGAAGGAAAAGGAATCTTACTGTATTCGCCGCTTTAAAAGACTGAAACCAAGCCATCTAAACCAAGAGGACTAGAAAAAGAAAGCTACGCAAAGATCCTTTAATTACTACTATAAGAATAACATATCCAGTATGGAATCAAATATCCTGGATATAATCTGCGTTGCATAAATGTACACAAAGCAATAGATGTCGCTATGCCTCATAGATTTCTACGGAAAAATAAACATTTTTCAGTATCCGTAACAAGTCTATATATGTTATTTGAGATATAATGCATCTATAGTTTAAAATTCATATAGAGACAGCCATGTAGAGTTTTACAAATACAACTTGTTTATGCTTATTTGTTAGTTTTGTTTATGATTTGTATATGCCTCTGAAAAAGACTCATTACGAGGCCACAGCGCTCATTCTAGTTAGTTGCTAGTTTTGCACTGTTCGTTGTCAGTTTATTGCATCTATCTCAATCAATCCCTGACACACGTGATCCCTTGCTGGTTCCATTGTGCTTGAAATTGCTGTTATTCGACATATGATTTGTATTATATATATATATATATATATATATATATATATATATATATATATATATATATATATATATATATATATATATATATATATATAATTTATGTATTTATTTATTCTTTTAAATATCTCTCTTTAATAGCTTTGTATATATATATATATATATATATATATATATATATATATATATATATATATATATATATATATATATATATATATATATAATTTATGTATTTATTTATTCTTTTAAATATCTCTCTTTAATAGCTTTGTATACTGTCTTACTGCTTCGGATTTAGAATACACTAGATAATGTTGGTCTATTACATTTCTCGCTATGTGGCTTAATTTTAACATAAAACAATATGGTAGCATATATTTCGGGATTTCCTCTCAGCATTTAGTTTGTTTATTATGGCCAGCTTGACATATGGATGGGGGGGGCCTCGAGTGGCCGAGTGGTCTAAAGCGCTGTCCGTTACGGATCACTACCATCTCACCTCTGTCTGCGTGGGTTCGAGTCTAGGATTCGGCAAATGTGGATATGTGAGAAAGCTTGCCAGTAGCTTCTCGTGGGTCGGTGGTTCTTTCCGGTGATTTCCCGGTTTCTTCCTCCACCATTAATACTGGCCGCCATGTGTAGCCTATCTTGTGCTGAAAAATGGCGTTAAACCCCGCAACAACCAACCAACCAACATATGGATGGATGGATGGGCTGGAAGAGCCAGAATGGTAAGTCATTGATGGGCTAGAAGAGCCAGAATGGTGAGGCATTGATCCGCAGTGTGGCAGCAAAGCCATTTCAACCGACTGTGTATATGTTGCATGATGGAAATTGTTTAATAGGAATTCCGGATTCTAGAGAAAGTCACGGAATAGTGATACAAAGTCCATACCCTGGAAACGGCAGTATACATTGTGGCGTGTTTACAAGGACGTGTGGTTTTTTTAACCAATCTTATTTTCTTTTGCATCATATGGTTATGTGAAGCATTCTTATTTCCTACAGTTCCAGTGGTTAGAGCGTCCGCCTCGGATGTGGGAGGTCGCTGGGTTCGAACCCCGGCAGAGTCATGGTACTAACAGCTGCCTCGCATTGAGCTCAGCACTAAGAGGTTAGTGTTAGGTCTGGGTGAAACATCATGCTACATGTCTGCAGCATAATGCCCCTGTACTAGACATCATTATAAACATCCACAGATCAGACATCGTAACCATATGACGTAAACATTGTTAAAGCTACGTTACAAGCCCATATCACAGAGACACGCACTTTAGTTTTCTTTGTATCATATGGTTGCTTGAACCACAATCGTTTGTTTTTTGTATGTTTTTGTTTTGTTTTCTTGTTTTTTGTTGTTCTGTGTATATTATTCTTTGAATCGTACTAGTGCTTATTCCTTTTCATTATATATTGTGGATGTATGAACTATATTAATATTTTATTTTTACATGAATCTGTTTTCTTTATATAACATGTTCAGTATGGAAGTCTTGTAGCATAGGCAGAGGGTGTTTTGTGAGTCTACTTGCGTATGTATTGTCTTGAACATTTATTTTTCATTTCATCAACGTCCATTCGATCACATTCTGCTGTGTTGTCACTCAGTCCAAAAATCTTTTCGCTTTCAATCCTGTTACACCTTGCCTAGATATATAGGGGCCCCATTCTGCACCCAGTCTCCTGCCCATATGTCAGGAATCAGGCAACAATTAATATTTCCGGTTCAGAACCCACGAATGATTAAAATAATAAATTAGAATTGATATTTGGGCTTTGAGTTTGAATTAATTAACTAATTAATAATAATAATAATAATAATAATAATAATAATAATAATAATAATAATAATAATAATAATAATAAATAATTAACTAATTAACTAAAGACAATGTACAAATACTTGTCTGCAAATTCTCCGTACAGATCTAAAATCTTGCTAAGACATGTACAGATAGATGGTCATGCCAACGCTTTCCAAATTTCCCCATTGGGTATAATCCTGCTAAGTCCTTTTAGGTTGGACATCCTGAATCCTCTAGAACTTGACATACTTAATCTTCTGATGTCGGACAAGCAGAGTTCTTTTGGACTCAACATGCTAAATTATTTAGGGTTCGACATGCTCTTTCATTTGGGGTTCGATATGCTAAGTCCTTTGTGTTCGACACGCTAAATCGTTTTGCGTTAGACACGCTAAATCCTTTAAGGCTCGACATGTTAAATCCATTATGGTTAGACATGGTAAATTCTTTAGGGATCGACTGGTTAAATACGTTGTGGTTAGACATGGCAAATTCTTTAGGGATCGACTTGTTAAATCCGTTGTGGTTAGACATGGTAAATTCTTTAGGGATCGACTTGTTAAATCCGTTGTGGTTAGAAACAGCAAATGGTATAAAGCTCGACATGTAAATTAGTCGGGGCTTGACATGTTAAGTCCTCCAGGGCTCCACATCTTAGATCATTTAGTGTTGAATATGATAAGTCCTCTCGGGCTCGACGTGCTAAATTCGTTAGGGCTCGATAAGACAAGTCTTTTCGGGAAAAGCCGTTTTAAGAAGTTTTGGGGCCCTAGGCACAAACTGTAACCTTAAAAGTTACCAGAATTGCGCCTCAATCTCTCAGTCTCATATATAGAGTATTGTATTGCATTTCCATGTGCATGTGTCATTTTGTTAAATTTATTAATATAGTACTAAACTGTTAACACAACAGACACCGAAATTTTGTTTTTTTTTTGGCCGCCACAGGGCTCCCTGCTGCGCGCGGCCCTTGGAACGTGCCTCCCTTAAACGGCATTGCTTTCAGGCTCGACATGCTAAGTCATTTCGGGCTCAACATAAGTCCTTTTCTGGCTCGACATGGTAAATTTGTTAGGGCTCGGCATGCGAAGTCACTTGGGGCACGACATCCTAAATCCTTTAGGGTTAGACATGCTGAATCCTTTAATGTTTGACAAGCAAAATCCTTTAGGGCTCGACATGCTAAGTCCTTTAGGGTTCTGCATGCTAAATCTTGTACGGTGCGTGCGCGTGTTTCGTGGCATAACTGTTTTAACATTGATTCTAAACCTTAAAAAAATGTTTGGACAATACGGTATGAACATGAATTTTCAATTCAGAAGATTTGCATAAACTCACCATGACGTATGGATTTTCAAAAAGATTTTCGACACAATGCTGTTGCGTATTCGAGACTGTAAAGTAAACTTATCACTTGCAAAAGAGTCGAAACTAACTCGAACATGGCAGTTCCAATGTGAAAGTTTTATTAAGTCACCTAAATAAAATCAGCATTTTATGAGCCAAATTTGAATTTTATACATAAAGGAATTTTTGTAAGTAATCGCCAACGAGCTAGCCCGTACAAACCAGTAGTGGAGGTACTGAACCCAATATTGGCCGGCACGGACTTGCATTGGAGACATTAAAAGAGATTAAGTTTGGTGCGGTTTTGCAAGACACACTTTATAATAAAAGACCCATGAAGACCTGAAATAGCTCACTTTATTTCCATAAATATAAAAGCCAAACGTAATATAAATTACAAAGATAATCATGGTTTGTAAAGGTACTCAAGTCACTAGATTTTGTTCCCGCCAAATATTAATTAAACAGGCATTCAGAAGTCTAACTTTTCTTCTATATTTATAATGACGGCTCATTTCATGGTTGACATTCATAAATTGTATCAATTAATAGTTAATTAAAATTAAAAGGATCTAATATAAAATATGACTATTTATTTATTTATAAACATTCATTTAAAATTTGTTATTCTTCTTAATATCGGCGTCTACATTGAACGGCCGCTATTTGAAGTTTATAAAATTTTGAAAACTCGAGATCCGAGGAATATTAATTTTAGTCATCATTGATCAATAGGTATGTGACAAAACGTTAAAATGCCATATATTTTGGTAACAGTTGCCATAGTTATGAAGGATCAATCTCAATTATACACACTTTAATAGTCCCCTTGAGGAGATAATCTTTGCAACATATGGTATAGATTGGTCCCACGTTTTTAGAGAAGTCGTTTAAATTTTTTTCTTTTAGTGTGATATCTTTATCTTACAATCAGTCCACGGATATTTCACAAATCAATAACTCTTTGTTTTGAAAAAAACTAAAGTCGAAATTGGTCTTGTTTATTTAGGATAGAGCTTTTAACATTTTTAACAAACAGAGAGCATTCATTAGTAGTAGTAGAAGTAGTAGTATTAGTAGTAGTAGTAGTAATAGGAGGAGGAGTAATAGTAGTAGTAGTAGTAGTAGGAGGAGGAGGAGGAGGAGGAGGAGTAGGGGTGTTGGTGGTAGTGGTAGTAGCAATAGTAACTGCAGGGCCAGCCTTAGTCCTATTGGACCGATTTCGCCCAATTGGGCCCTCGCGGTAGCAATTTTTTAAAATATATTTACAGAACGAAAGTAATTTTAAAGCAATGAAGGAAACTTTTTAAGTTCAATATTATATACAACAATTGTTTTTAAGTTTTTGTCAAATACAGCATTCAGTAGTAGTAGTAGTAGTAGTAGTAGTAGTAGTAGTAGTAGAAGTAGTAGTAGTAGTAGTAGTAGTAGTAGTAGTAGTAGAGGTGTTGGTGGTAGTGGTAGTAGCAGTAGTAACTGCAGGGCCAGCCTTAGGCCTATAGGACGGATTTCGCCCAATTGGGCCCTCGCGTTAACAATTTTTTAAAATATATTTACAGAACGAAAGTAATTTTAAAGCAATGAAGGAAACTTTTTAAGTTCAATATTATATACAACATGTGTTTTTAAGTTATTTCCAAATGCAGAGCTGGAGGAGGGGGCAAAATTCAATGGGCCCCTCCAAAATGATCCAAATCTGTGCCTGCGTTGCTAAGGCCGGTAAAGAGTAGTAGTAGTAGCAGAAGCAGTAGTAGTTGTTGTTCTTGTTTTTGTTCTTGTTATTGTTGTTATTTTTAGGCTTTAGAAAGGGGGAGGAAGAAATAATATTGGATTAGCATGAACGAGTGATGTCAGAACGGAAGAAAACATAATTTCAAAGATACTCACCTGTTTACCCAAAACAATCTTTGTCTATTTTGTGTGATACATCCGGGTGGTGTATGTATTGAATTCTTGCACGTGTTTTCGATGTCACCTGATCTGGCCGAATGGAGTACTAAATTCTCTATAAAGACTGATAGGAGTGTAATTAAGTAGCGTCAATCGCTAGATTCATATTGGATTTCGAATCCCAAACCACACCATATTCGTAAACATGGGTAAGCAAAAATTGTGTTTTTTCAGTTAAACATTGGTTACATAAGACACCAATTTATGATGATACTTTAATGTGTATCCAAGTAAATAGTGTGTTTCCCATAGCCCTACCTCCGATAGCGGCTCATATTTCTTGTGTGTAGTTCCAGTTGTATATTATGCGGGTAAGTACAATGATCAGGCAAACGAGCGTGTACGAAACGGAACTATATGGGTTCTTGACTAACACAGTACGCGCTCGGGCAAGTGTTCGTTTTATGATAAAGCTTCACAGCTGAACGGAGAAATAAACAGGAGAGGAAATAAAGAATTTAACTGCAAGCAGGATTTATTATGCCCTAAAAGTTCACGCTGGTTGAGCTCGACTCGTATATCATGCATTTATTGACAGCAAACGCCTCAATATTATAAAAATATGAAAAGCGTGACGGATCTTAGATTCCAACGGACCGTAAACAATTTTCCATGTGGTAATTGCCTGGCCTTTCCATAGCAGTTTCTATTTAATATTTTTTCAAAAGGATACTCACCACTGTATGAAAAATGATTCCTTCAGATATTTGTTGTTCAAAACATGTTCAAATGTTACACACACGCGCATATATATATATATATATATATATATATATATATATATATATATATATATATATATATATATATATATATATATATATATATATATAATTCTCGTTCAATGTGGTTTAAAGTACGTAACAGATCCCGACAGACAGAAATAAAACAGCCCGTATTACTTTACCTAACACACGTTACCTCGATATAGTCGTGTTATTCGTAGACAGATTAATTTCTCGCCAAATTTT